GGCAATACCCTCACTAGATTCATAAGAAGATCGAGTTTGAGTAGCTTTTAGGGCCATTAGGTAAACTTGGAGGGAAATGTGAAGATTTAAAGACAGAAAGACAGAGCCGAAAATAAGAAAAGTTTTTAAGAGCTCTGGGAATTCTGGGAAGCCCTGAGAATGTGAGGAATTGGAACTATTTAAGGTATTTAATCTGAGGATTAAGAAAGGATTATATAGTAAACAGTTGATTAAGGACAGATCGTGGGTTCGTGTGAAGTATCGGTTAATTAAACGCCTGCATCAATGGTGCAAGTCTCGAGTAAAGGCGTGCGATGGTGGTTACTAGGTGACGCATGTTCAATCATTATTAGCGCATAGGTTTGCAGGCTTAACAACAATTGAAGAATGCATTGTTTGGGTTAATATTTAACTTAAGACTTCGAGGGAAGAAAAGCCCAAAAGAGCTCAGTAAAGGAGATTTTGCCCTAAACCCGCACCAAGCCCAGATACTCATGTCTAGACAATATGACGGCTCCCCATTAAATGCAAAGGTTAGGTGCTTACAAGGGAAGTGACAACCAATGGAAATCATCCAACTCTCGGCCCAAAAGCACTTTTCCAAATGGCAGAACATGTAAAAATGCTAATGACTCACTACCCTTCAGTTACTTTCGGACAAGAGTAGAAATGGTGCAGTCGGGCTAATTCGCCTATAAATAGGGGAAAATGGCCCAGAGACAAGGACACTCAACCAATCAAACAAACAAACATACAACTTGCCTCTCATTTAAGCAAATATCCAGAAAGGTTTACTTTGTTCAGATTCTGCACCCTTTTAGCCTTAGACTTCCTTTAGAAAGACATCTTTTGTCTATGTAAAAGCTCTGCTACCTTATCCAAATGCTATAGTATTGATTCTCTTGCGTAAAATCATTTACCACTCATTGCTCTTTCAGTACCTAACCCTTTAGAACTACAATAAAGAAGAGATTGCAAGATGTTTAACCTTGCCCGAAAAGGTGAAATTGTGCCCGCCTTTCTTTGTTTTGTCTTTCAATTAATAGATCTTGTGTTATAATGTATTGCCTAGTATATATTCAAGTCATTTCCAGTCTTTTGATGATCCAAAGTTCCATTAGTTCTCAAATCTGGTTCACTTAGTAATTTTATTATCATAAAAAGATTAAAAGTGAATTAAAATTGATGACTTGATCAGATCTGGGTCTCCAACCTTTAAGCATACAAGATAAAGAACTAAAACTCCTTGATCTCAAGGCATAGAAAAGAACTTAATGTAGACTTAACTCATCTACGACAATCCTTTGATAACAAGAAGTCAGAATAACTTGGGGCGCAAGTAATCGGCTTAAATACACTTGTTCTACATTTTCCATACAGAGATGGGCAGTGGCACGCCTTAGCACTTAGTTAGTTTTGATTGCGAGCCTCAAGGCTACACCTAAGGCCCCACAAAGGCACATTTCAAAACTAACTTTGTCATCTTCTTGCAGCATCTCGGCAAGCCGGAGCCCGACAATCAACCAAAGTGCCAACTCCTTGGGGAACTGTGTGCTCGAGCTAGGGACCTTGTTCAGCTAGATTTCCTGCCCGAACACAACCATCGCGTTTACCACCATCATCCACCATTTGTCCTTCTCTTTTCACAGAAAGTGATGCATCCATCTCACAACCCAGCTGATGCAACTCTGTCAGCGTGGTTTCCTCTTTTCGAGATGCATGTTCACAAGCTCCCATCATTATATAAACGTGTAAACAAGCTGGTGCAGTCCTGTACATGCCACACTAACTGTGGTCTAGCATCGTTCTGTTATTATCAAGGGACCTAACTAAAGATGCTTCCTAACATTAAGCACCAATTGTCAACCTTAAAATCGTTGTAGTACTGTAGATAAATCCACCCACAATCTTCGTAGTCCTGTAGATGCCTCAACTTTCGACTAGATATGTTTTCGAGCACCAAATCAGCCTTCAAGAATACCTATATGAAGGAAACCTCAAGCAAGGGGTTTAACTCAAGTAAATGGTGGCATAGAAAAAAAGTGAATATACAGTTTAGAGTACTTACAAAATGAGTGTGAAAATCGTAATCCTACCAGAACGACATCCCACAATAAAGAATTGGCTTATTAGTGTTGGCTAACATGTTTGCAATCGAAAGGTATATGAATAATGCTGGAAATGATAATATAGTGGCAAGGACTGAAGCGAAATGATTGATGCAAGACCAAAGAGAAAGATTATCAAAGAATAATGTCTAAAAGCATGTTGTATGAAACTCATTGCTCCACTCTAACGCTATAAGAGCAAAAGGTGAGCTAAAAAGCTGCTAAATAATCCATGGATATGAGCCATGAGGGATCAACAACTACATTCTGAGGGAGCAAAAGTTGTAGGTGTCACAGTCACCCTGTCACGTGCAATGGTGGATCCAGAATTTTAATATCGAGTGTTCCCAATATTCAAGCTAAAAAAAATAGATGAAAATACCATTGAAATATTAAATGATAAATTACAATTTTTTATTTATAATCTTTATACAAACAACAATTTAGTGTAACATTTTCCATCATTTTTTAACAAGATCACTAATTCCTTGTGACTAAGAAAAGTTATTTCTCAAACAAATAAAATAAATATAAATATCAAATTGATCTTGAAATGCCTAATTAAGTTGATCTTGAAGTGTCGATAGGTACATGAAGTTTGGGGAAGAGATTGGTATTGTGCTGATGATGGTGGACTTCGGTTGGGTGGAGTGGGATTTAGGAAATGGAGGATTAGGGAGTTAATTTGGGTGGGGTGGACTTTCTTAGAAAGTCGAGTCTTTTTGTTTTTTTTTTTTAAATAAAAAATGGTGAGGCTATCAGCCTCCCACGTGATCTAGGTGATGTTGTCATACCAGGGCTAGCCTTGAGGGGGTGCAAGGAGTGCGACCGCACATGGCCCCTGTTTTTTTGGGGCCTTTAAATTTAATAACCTTTGAAATATACAAGATATATACCATAAACGTGAGCATATTAAACAAAGCAATCATAGCTGATTTGGCAGGTGCTGTTTTTGCTATCTATCTGTGCACGGGTTCGAGTCCTTGCCTGCCTGTATTTACAATTTTGAATTTTTTCAGCTGTGTTTATTTCATATTGGGCTTTTTTTGGGGTTTTTTTTTCCTCCAAAGCTAGATAAGTTGACACACCCCGACCTGGAAAGGTCGAAACATGTTGGCCATCACCAGGAGGTGATGTAACCATAAGGGTAAGTGATGCAAGAAGTGAATAAAATTAAAACCCACGAATTGCGCACTCTTTCACTGTTTAGTTCTAATTAGTTTTAATTTTATTCACTTCTTGCATCACTTACCCTTATGTTTACGTCACCTCTTGGTGATGGCCAGCATGCTTCGACCTTTCCAGGTCGGGGTGTGTCAATTTGGTATCATAGCCTAACCCTGGCTGTGGTGTGCCGACGAGGACGTCGGGCCCCTTAAGGGGGGTGGATTATAAGATCTCACATCACCCAGGGGAGTGATCCTTAAATGTATACTCTCATCCCTACCGGGCACGAGACCTTTTGGGAGCTCACTGGCTTTGAGTTTCATCGGAACTTCGAAGTTAAGCGAGTAGCGCACGAGAGCATTCTCATGATGGGTGACCCACTGGGAAGTTCTCATGTGAGTTCCCAAAAACAAAACCGTGAGGGCGTGGTCGGGGCCCAAAGCGGACAATATCATGCTACGGTAGTGGAGCAGGCTCGGGATGTGGTGGACCCCGGGCCAGGATGTGACATAAGTATTATTAAATACAAACGGATACATTTATTTTTAATTATGAATTTAACCATTTATCTTCTAGTCACTATTTGATGGTCATCTAATTTTCATTTTATTTTAAAACCATTTTGTCATCCATATATCAATGATCTGTTTAACACATAAAATTTTATTGAGATGAACTCTGGATGATAATAAAGAGCAACAATGGTTCTAAGTATAATATTTGAACGGTAATATGATAAGTACATATCCACCATACCATGCTTTTTCTATTAAAAAGCAAGGAATTTCAAACCCAAAAACATAAGGGATGCATATAGATACACAAACTCAACACACCATGTTTCATTTTTATTTATTTTCTTGTGCATTATATTTATGCACATAAAAAATATAAAAGAAAATATAACAACCAAAATTTTAAGCCATGTAAGGGCCCCCGTTTGGATCTTGCATGGGGTCTCTAAAATCTCAGGACCAGCCATGTGTCATACAACACATCAATGCTCACCGTTTTACTTAAAAAACTCACGTGGCCTAGATAGCACGTGACTTAGGATTTACAAATAATACTTGACAAAAAATGACCGCACGATGTACAATAAACAGTTAGGATGTAGAGATCCCTAGGATCCCACAAAGTGAATCCGGAGAAGATCCTCTTTCGAAGTAGACAATGGAAGGTAGAGGATGCCTCTGAAGCATTTTGTCAAACACATTGAAAGCATAATCAAGATTAGTAACTATCACAAGATGGTATGGCTGGGTATTTCAAGATTTGGTTGGAATGGAAGCTCGAGTGAGTCATAGCCAACGTTCAAAGATTGCATTTTTTTACCATTGGAAATAGTATTTCTGACGAACAATGAAGTTATTCACGAGATTCAAACCTAAGACATTTCACTTACAAGTGAAGAAGGATACCACCAGACTGTAGTAATAAGTGGCAACAAACAATTTATTTTAAATCTTCTTGTTTAGAAAGGGTGTGTTGCCTTCATGGTTAGGACATTTCTCTTCAATCTACTTCGTTCTGGTTACAAACCCTCATCTTCCTCTTAGTGTACTAACAAGATCTCTTTTAAATCCAAGAGCTTTGCATTTAAAGCCAAATTGAGACCCGCAACATGAATGGTGCCAATTTGGAACTCTACTTTAGACAAAAGTAATATTGTCCAAATCGAGAACTTAAATAGTTCATATTATAGTATAAGATCGATAGACATTATTTTCTAACCTTCAGAGACTGAGGAGCTACTATCTTCCACTCCCTTAACATTCTGATACTTGTACAACTTGGCACATAACAAAAAATAACCAAAGTTGAGCACACCTATCACAACCACAACCCAGTACACATTGTCTATCCTCCCTTCGTTTATATCATCCGGCAGCCATTCTGTAACCCTCCGAAAAAGATCAACCAGCGCCGTGCTCAAGTAAAAAGCAATGGCTATTATCATCGCAACCATTGCAGTCGCCGTGGTACGAAGTGACGCTGGAAATTCTTGATAGCAAAACTGAAGTTCCCCCGGGAAATGAAATGCTTCACCGATGCCCACCAAAACCAACTGTGGGAATAACCACATGACCAACATTGGCACCTTGGAACCGTGAGCTGTTTTGAGACGCTTTGACTCGACCAATGCGGAAACAGCCATGCCTGTGATATTTAGGACATGACCAATTCCTAGTCTTTGGAGGGGAGTCGGAGATTTATGGGTCAGTTTCTGCCAGCCGGGATATAGGATACGATCAATTATTGGGACAGCGATGCAAGAGGCGATTGTAACCACGACTAGGACAGATCCAACCGGGACTTTGAAATGTGATCCAATGTGACGGTCCATCTTTAGAGCTTGCAGGACCGTTAAGCTCATTTGAATCGCTATTGGGGTACTTATAAATATGCTGGAAGACCACACGGGGAAAATTCTAATGATAGTTTTGAGATCTTCTACTTGCTGGAGTGTGCACAACCTCCATGGCCTTGCAATTGAGCCGTCAGGCTTCAAGTCCCCTTCTGTTTCCAGGGCTGCGCTGTTCAGGAATCTGCAACAACATGATGATTACAGATCAAAAACATCAGGGAAAAGCTCATTTGAATTATACACACGATGTCACTTATTATCTTCTAGTTATCTTTTTTATTTGGCCTCACAGTCAAAAAACAAGAGGCGTGCAATAAAGAAGACACCAAGATAAAATCAATGTGAGGATACAGAACATGTGGAAATTCTGGTACCTGAAACTCTTTTTAGGTGCTGCGGGAGTTGTCTTTGCCTCTCCATCATTGTGGTAGTGGTAATCCTCCCTTCGAGATGTGAGCTTAACATTCCATTTCCGGATACTAGCAACAACAACACGAGCTATATTCACAAATGGGCTACCTTGTGGCTTATCACGACGATAGAAATGGATTCCAGATGAGAATACGACCAGACCAATCAAATTAACAAGAGCAGATAGGCCAAATCCCAACCCCCAACTGACACTGTCCTCAATATACACAACGACAGTAGAACTTACAACAGTCGCCGTATACATGGCAAAGAAAAACCAGTTAAAGAAAATCCCTTGATTTTTAGGCTTGTCAAATTGGTTTGCTCCCATTGTTGCTATAGTAAAGCGAGTGCCTCCCAGTCCAATTGATCCCAGCGTTATACTAGCATATAGGACTGAAAACTGAACTTTTGATGGTGTTTCGCACAAGCTAGATCCATTCTCACATGAAGGGGGCCTCAAGGAATCAAGAGTTGCAGTCAAAGTGAATAGGACCAATCCCTGCGAAGAATAAATTGTAATGAATTTAAAAATGAGATTAGACGTGTATTGAAAATTTTCAGAGAACAAGTTGGTTCAACAGGAAAATTAAAAATGCGACGATATGTATTGCCCGCAGGTACCCGAGGTACAGCTCAAATACGAGAAGAAAATATGGAAACCTTCCTACCGTGTCTCTAGCACCAACTATTTAAGGATTCAGATGATTCAGATGCTTCAGATGCTTCATTGTAGGCTAATACTGTTCCGTTAAGCAGAGAATTGAAAGTGTATTATCCTATAAAACTCAACTTTACGTTGCAAATTGGAAGTGTATAATCCCACATCAACAATTAACAGAACTATCATGGCTAAGTGAGCGTGTGTGCTTGTTAGAGTGGAGACAGAGCGAGGCTATTACCAGAAAAGAGACACAAGACGAGATCAGGATGACAGGGAAACAGCCAAAGAAAGAGTCTGCAACAATTGCTCCAATGATAGGAAATAAACTAGTGCAACCATTGACAACATTTGACACCTGAGTAGCATCAATGCTCTTCACGTTAAACTCCTCAATCAGATACACAACCAGATTTGCTTGCCATCCTCCAGCAGCAAGTGTCAAGCACATTAAAGTTCCTGCTCAAAACAAAATAAGATCATATGGTTTGCTAAGTGAACAACAGAAGTGCATGAGAGAGAGAGAGAGAGAGAGAGAGAGAGAGAGAGAGAGAAACCTATGATGAATAAAAAGATGATCCAACCACCACGTTTACCACCAGCATCCACCATTTGTCCTTCACTGTCCATGGGGAGTGATGCATCCATGTTAATACCCAGATGGTGTAAATAAATCCATTAAGCACCAACTTTCAACTTTCCAGTAGTTGTAGCACTGTAGATAAATCCAGCCAGTCATTGGGATGCCTCAACTTTCGACTAGCTAAGTTTTCGAGCACCAAATCAGCCTTCAAGAAGACCTATTTGAAGGAAACCTCAAGCAAGGGTTTTAACTCAAGTAAGCAAGTTCATGTTACTAGGAGCAGTTTGTGAATCTCAATCACACCGTAATTTTGGCACTCATTTTCAACCTCCTGCACTCCTATGTGAGTAAAAAGAATGTAAAATATACAGTTTAGAGTGCAGATGTTTAAAAAATGAGCGTGAAAATCGTAACCCTACGACAACAACATCCAACAATAAAGAATTGGCTTATTATTGTTGGCTAACATACTGGCCATAGTCGGTATACCAATAATGCTGGAAATGAAAAAATAATGACAAGATAACAAATTAAGCCGGCAAGGAGGACTTTATGTGAAATGAGTTTTGATTGGTTTATTGCTCAACATAATTATATCTATCTATTCTTATTCTATTAAGAGAAGAGGGTTTGTCAAAATTTTGCCCTTTTTCTTCCAATGTTACCCTCACTTTTGAATATACAATGTTGACATGAGGAGGGCAAAATAGTAATTTTGTATCTTTTGAGAAAATAACAATCATACCCCTATTTTCCCTATTTTACCCTCACGTTTGATACACAATATTTACTTAAAGAGGGCAAAATGGTAATTATGTAATATTAAGAATAATATGCCCTTGATAGGAGATCACATCATCATTATCTCATACTCTTTTTAAAAATTTAAAAAACTAAATATGTTAAGCTCATTTGAATGTGAGCTTAACCGGGATGTTAAAATGTGAACCAATGTGACGGTCCATCTTCAGAGGTTGGAGGACCGTTAAGCTCATTTGAATCGCTATGGGGGTACTTATAAATATGTTGGATGACCAACAGGGTAAAATTCTTATGGTAGTTTTGAGATCTTCTACTTGCTGGAGTGTGCACAACCTCCATGGCCTTGTAATTGAGCCGTCGGGCTTCAAGTCCCCTTCTGTTTCCAGGGCTGCATTGTTCAGAAATCTGCAACAAGAGAGCAAACAGAATTGCTTACCATCATTATTTCCTTGATTGTGCATGGCACTCTGTTTCCTACTGAAATAGTACTGTGTATATATCCATCCAAACTCAACAAAATAATGATTACAGATAGAAAACATTGGGGAAAAGCTTCCTTGCTTGTTGACTCACGTAAAGTGAACAACGCAGGTGTTCCCCAAAAGCTGTTTCGAACATCCTAAAGTGGCCAACTCGCTGATCAATAATCCCACCATCACCGAGGATGGATTCCATAGCGGGCCTCAGCAGAACTATCTCATCACATTACATGAATCTTCAGCAACAGAAGATAAGTGAAATTATGTCTACAAGATTTTGCAAAATTGAATACAAGATTTTTCTATCCTCAACTTTACATTCTTTTTTCCATCATAGATCATACAGAAAAGCTAGAGGTCTTGTTAGGTGAAGTTTGATAGGGTTGACTTATGTCACCCGTGAATTATACACACGACGTCACTTATTATCTTCTAGTTATCTTTTGTATTTGGCCTCACAGTTCAAAAAACATGCGGCGTGTAATAAAGAAGACACCAATGTAAAATCAATGTAAGGATGCACAAAATGTGGAAATTCTGGTACCTGAAAGTGAAACTCCTTTTAGGTGCTGCAGGAGTCGTCTTTGCCTCTCCATCATTGTGTTAGTGGTAATCCTCCCTTCTGGATGAGAGCTTAACGTTCCATTTCCGGATACTAGCAACAATAACATGAGCTATTTTCACGAATGGACTACCTTGTGGCTTATCACGACAATAGAAATGGGTTCCAGATGCGAATATGACCAGACCAATCAGATTAACAAGAGCAGATAAGCCAAATCCCAACACCCAACTGACACTGTCCTCAATATACACAAACGACAGTAGAACTTACAACAGTTGCTGTATACATGGCAAAGAAAAACCAGTTAAAGAAAATCCCTTGATTTTTAGGCTTGTCAAATTGGTTTGCTCCCATTGTTGCTATAGTAAAGCGAGTGCCTCTGAGTCCAATTGATGCCAGAGTTATACTAGCATATAGGACCGCAAACTGAATTTTTGATGGTGTTTTGCACAAGCTAGATCCATTCTCACATGAAGAGGGCCTCAAGGAATCAAGAGTTGCAGTCAAAGTGAATAGGACCAATCCCTGCAAAGAATAAATTGTAACGAACTTAAAAATGAGACTAGACGTGTATTGAAGATTTTCAAAGACAAGTTGGTTCCACTGGAAAATTGAAAAATGTGACGATATGTATTGCCCACAGGTAGCCGAGGTACAGCTCAAATATGAGAAGAAATATGGAAACCTTCCTACCGTGTCTCTAGCTCCAACTATTTAAGGATTCAGATGCTTCATCTTAGGCTAATAATGCTCCATTAAGCAGAGAACTGAAAGTGTATTATCTTATAAAAACTCAACTTTATGTTGCAAATTGGAAGTGTATTATCCTACATCAATGAGTAAAAGAACTATCATGGCTATGTGAGCATGTGTGCTTGTTAGAGTAGAGACCGAGCGAGGCTATTACCAGAAAAGAGACACAAGAAGAGATCAGGATGACAGGGAAACAGCCAAAGAAAGAGTCTGCAATAATTGCTCCAATGATAGGAAGCAAACTAGTGCAACCATTGACAACATTTGACACCTGAGTAGCATCAATGCTCTTCACTTAAACTCCTAAATCAGATACAGAATCAGATTTGCTTGCCATCCTCCAGCAGCAAGTGTCAAGCACATTAAAGCTCCTGCTCAAAATAAAATACGATCACATGATTTGCTAAGAAAGAAGTTTTCTTTTTCACTTCCTTGTAGTCATAAGTGAACAACAGAAGTACATGAGAGAGGGAGGGGGGGGGGGTGAGAGGGGGAGAGAGAGAGAGAGAGATACCTATCATGAATAAAAAGATGATCCAACCACCGCGTTTACCACCATCATCCACCATTTGTCCTTCTCTGTCCACAGAGAGTGATGCATCCATCTTACAACCCAGCTGATGCAACTCTGTCAGCGTGGTTTCCTCTTTTCGAGATGCATGTTCACACAAGCTCCCATCATTATATAAACGTGTAAACAAGCTGGTGCAGTCCTGTACATGCCACACTAACTGTGGTCTAGCATCGTTCTGTTATTATCAAAGGACCCAACTAAAGATGCTTCCTAACATTAAGCACCAACTGTCAACCTTAAAATCGTTGTAGTACTGTAGATAAATCCACCCACAATCTTCGTAGTCCTGTAGATGCCTCAACTTTCGACTTGATATGTTTTCGAGCACCAAATCAGCCTTCGAGAATACCTATTTGAAGGAAACCTCAAGCAAGGGGTTTAACTCAAGTAAGCGAGTCTTGTAATTGCTTTTACTAGGAGCAGTTATGTAAATCTATATAAGACTTCCTAATTTTCACTCATTTTCAACCTCCTGCACTCCTATGTTAGCATAGAAATAATGTGAATATACAGTTTAGAGTACACAAATGGTTAAAAAATGAGCGTGAAAATCGTAATCCTACCAAAACGACATCCCACAATAAAGAATTGGCTTATTAGTGTTGGCTAACATGTTTGCAATCGAAAGGTATACGACTAATGCTGGAAATAATAATATAGTGGCAAGGACTGATGCGAAATGACTGATGCAAGACCAAATAGAAAGATTATCAAAGAATAATGTCTAAAAGCATCCAGTATGAAACTCATTGCTCCACTCTAACGCTATAAGAGCAAAAGGTGAGCTAAAAAGCTGCTAAATAATCCATGGATATGAGCCATGAGGGATCAACAACTACTTTCTGCGGGAGCGAAAGTTGTAGGTGTCACAATCACCCTGTCACGTGCAGTGGCGGATCCAGGATATTAATATCGGGTGCTCCCAATATTCAAGCTAAAAAAAAAAAGATTACCATTGCAATATTAAATGATAAATTACAACTTTTTATTCATAATCTTTATACAAACAACAATTTAGTGTAACCCTTTCCATCATTTTTTAACAAGATCACTAATTCCTTGCGATTAAGAAAAGTTATTTCTCAAACAAATAGAATAATATAAATATCAAATTGATCTTGAAATGCCTAATTAAGTTGATCTTGAAGTGTCGATAGGTACATGAAGTTTGGGGAAGAGATTGGTGGTGTGCTGATGATGGTGGACTTCGGTTGGGTGGAGTGGGATTTAGGAAATGGAGGATTAGGGAGTTAACTAGCAGCGGTGCCCGCACAATGCTGCGGGTATAGAGTAGCATTTATATACACATAGAAATCTATTTATGACCATATGGATTGCTAGTTTTGTTGTGATTGTTGTTCGAATATGAAGAAATATGCATATAGTCAGCCTATTTTACCTAATGATTACCAAAGTATAGAGATGCAGTTGATTTTAAGTTGCCAATGGGATAAAATACCTGGAGTTGGAGATAAACTTGGTGAAAGTAGAAATCTTCAAGATGCAAACAAATTGATCCTGGTTTTTGTCGCAGAATGTCCTTTCATCAGAGCAAATTATAGCAAAACTTTTAAAACCAAATGAAATTGTGAGAAATGATTAGGAAAGCAGAATTTTTCTAGACTATGCAGAGAAATAACAACAACAACAACAACAACAAAGCCTTTTCCCACTAAGTGGGGTCGGCTATATGAATCCTAGAACGCCATTGCGCTCGGTTTTGTGTCATGTCCTCCGTTAGAACCAAGTACTCTAAGTCTTTTCTTAGAGTCTCTTCCAAAGTTTTCCTAGGTCTTCCTCTACCCCTTTGGCCCTGAACCTCTGTCCCGTAGTCACATCTTCGAACCGGAGCGTCAGTAGGCCTTCTTTGCACATGTCCAAATCACCGGAACCGATTTTCTCTCATCTTTCCTTCAATTTCGGCCACTCCTACTTTACCTCGAATATCCTCATTTCCAATCTTATCATTTCTTGTGTGCCCACACATCCCACGAAGCATCCTCGTCTCCGCCACACCCATTTTGTGTACGTGTTGATGCTTCACCGCCCAACATTATGTGCCATACAACATCGCTGGCCTTATTGCCGTCCTATAAAATTTTCCCTTGAGCTTCAGTGGCCTACGACGGTCACACAACCCGCCGGATGCACTCTTACACTTCATCTATCCAACTTCTATTCTATGGTTGAGATCTCTCTCTAATTCTCCGTTCTCTTGCACGATATATCCTAGGTAGCGAAAACGGTCGCTTTTTGTGATCTTCGCTAGATTGCTCCGATCATTAGTGTGGATAAGTATATAAATGGATATAGATAGGAAAGCAAACACAAGATGTACGTGGTTCACCCAGATTGGCTACGTCCACGGAATAGAGGAGTTCTCATTAATTGTGAAGGGTTTACACAAGTACATAGGTTCAAGCTTTCCTTTAGTGAGTACAGGTGAATGATTTAGTACAAATGACATTAGGAAATATTGTGGGAGAATGATCTCGTAATCACGAAACTTCTAAGTATCGGAATGTGGTATCGTCTTGACTTGCCTTATCTGTCTCATAGGTAGATGTGGCATCTTCTCTGGAAGTACTCTTCCTCCATCCAGGGGTGGTATCTTTAACTGGTGGAGATGCACAAGGTAATGTATCAATTTCACTTGAAGCTTACTTGTAGTTTCAGGCTTGGTCAAGCGCGATACAAACCATGTAGTAGGAGTCCCTCAAGTTGCCGAGCTAGGGGATTTGCTGAAAGAGGTGACAGACAAGGAAAGCAATCAGAGCTCCGGCTGATTGTTCACATTCTCCCTATCTTGCAGGCAGCATGAAGGATAAAGAGAAGAAAAATGAGAAGAGATGATATGGGATACTTTTGCTTTTGAAGAAGTAACTTTCCACAGGCTTATTCTTGAACTGAGCTGGAGGGTTTTCTGGTTTCCTCCAGAGTATAAGGCCGACTGAAGAATTTGAGGGTCAAAACAAGTCCATCAAATCTAGAGTACGTTCGACCCTACTGATATGGGATACTTTTGCTTTGACAGAGTAATGGATGTATCGGCACGTGTGCTGTTACGCTTGTCTCCACATGCTTCCTTGTATCCTTCTCACTTGCCCTATCTGTTCCTCAGGCAGATGCGGTATCTTCCCTGGAAGCATAAGATGTTGAAGATGAGTACTCGAGAGCAATGCCAGGTAAGTAAGTTCCAGGCAGTCAGTTCCTGGCTGGAAGCTTGATTCCAAGTGCTGATTGATTGCTCTCTTTCTCCTTGTCTTGCAGGTAAGAACAAGGCCAAAGGAAAAGACAGGGAAAAAGCATGATATGGGATACTCTTGCTTTTAACCCTGATGATATGAGATATTCTTGCTCTAGTATAACTTGTTTGCAGAGGTATTATCGGGGGGAAAGAAAGCTGAATATTTCAAAAGGCTTCGTTGAGAGTGCCCTCTCATATATGAGGAAGGGTTGAGCATTTTTGCAGGTCTGTCTGTCCGTTGGGGATGGAGGTTGACATATATAGGAGTCTCCTTAACAACAAGTAGTAATGCTATTCCTTTACCCTGTCAGAGCACTTTGAAAAAGTGGTCTGTGGTATGTGGAAAGCTGATGTTGCGTGTGAAGATTACAGACAGCTTTATCCAAGGAGATCCGGCTCTTGTAGTTGGGAAAGTGTTGCCTCTTCGGTTTTCGAACAAGCAATCCTATCAGGGATCTGGCTCTCGAGATTCGGAGAACGATGTCTCTTCGATTTTTGAGAAAGCAATCATGCTGGGGGTCTGGCTCTCGAGATTCGAAGAGCGGTGTCTCTTCGATTTTTGAGAAAGTAATCATGTTGGGAGTCTGGCTCTCGAGATTCGGAGGACGGTGCCTCTTCGATTTTGGAGCAAGCAATCTTGTTGGGAGTGTTTTCTCGAATGTGAGTAAAGGTTGGGCATGTTTGCTAGTCTACCTTGCCACGAAGCACAGAGGTTGACACACAGGGACTTTCCAATTATCCAGCAGTGATACTGTTCCTTTACCCTTGTGGGTAATAATATGGGGTAGCTAGACCTTCAAAATTTATGTGTCTAAACTTTGTTAGTGCTGTTTCTTTGCTATTCTTTTACCCGTCTTGGTCAGAGCGATGTAGTGGAAGCTGCAAGCTTCACGTGCTCAACTTTGGCAGAGAACTTTGGCAAAGTTATCTGTGATACACATGAGCTACTAT